GTGTGTGTGTGTGCGCGCGATCGTGTGTGTGTGTGTGTGTGTGTGTGTGTGTGTGTGTGTGTGTGTGTGTGTGTGTGTGTGGTATCACGTTAGTCACGTGATTGATTGTGTTTTTGTTGGCAGATTAGTTTCATTCATTCAACCGTCCGTCAGTCTGTTCCTCTGTTTTGTTTTTAGATTATATAACGGGAAATTTAATCGTTAGTTACTACTGCTTTCTGGGTTCTTAAAGGAACCATTTGGTATGCGAGTGATGCCGCGGAGGTTGCATTTAATTAGTGAATGTTGTAGGATTAGGTGATGTGCACGAAATGAGTCGCTTTTTGACTAAATGTGCTGTGCGACTCATTGATCTATCGATTGTTTATTCGATCATTCATTCCTTCGTTACTTTATCGATTTCATTCTACTCTTCTAACCAGCAAGAAAAGTTAAGAAAGAAAATTAAATACCTTTTCGCATGCCATGTAAGCATCAGTAACTTCATTTTTATTCTACTGAAAATAAATTTAAATTTAAATAACTTTGAACTTCTGCTTCATATTATATATTAAACAGTCAATAGTTTGTGAGAAGTGCTGTACAAATAAAACACAATAGATAACATCACAATACAATAGCAACAATAATTTGTTGATCGTGAGATTTACAACTTGCTAAATGGATAGATTGATATATTATTAACACATATAAAACTTTCTTTTCATGGCAAAGCACACCGCAATTCGCACACGTAACTTCATGAAAACCCACACGCTGTGGCGTAGCCAGAAACATTTTGTTAAGAAGATTACATAGACTTCTTATGCACTACTTTTTTATTCACAAATTTATCAAATGTTAGTATTTTTAAAGGTTGCGAGAGTTTTAAGTCTAACTTTAACCCTAACAAAATTTAACCTCAAAGCTGAAGCCCTTCCCCACACTTGTCCTAGGACACGAACAGACAAATGTTTACACTTTCGTGTGATTTGACAATTATAAATAAACTTTTTGACGTGGCAGTAACGCATTGGTCAGATGTCAGTTGAGCTTGAATGTAAGTCATCATTACAGAATAAGATTTAAAAAATTGAAGCATAGTACTTGATATTTAACGCCAACAAATCATTATTCATCTATAGTTTATACATGTAAATGACTGATAGGTGAAGAGTTTGGGTAAAAACTTGAAAAAACATATGAAGTTAACCTTGCTCTTTCTTCCAATGATGCTCACAATGGAAAGAATTTTACAGGGCAATTCCAGTTTTGAAATTCCCTGTTGTCTAGATAATATTTAGTTTTAACGTAACATAACAAAACAGAAATTATAGTGGCTAAAAGACTAATCCTCTTATCATTTTTTTAAATAAATCCCAATTTAGTCAATTTGCTTTTGAAAAAAATTATCGATTCTGCATCGTTACTTAAGCTATTCCAGTGATTAACAACTCTAAAGAAGTTACGTATTTCATTTGCCCAGTTCTTTTCGTCTATGATCACTTCTATTTGTCGTGTGGTAATTTAAAAATTCACATAGCTGGTAAATCTTCTTTGTCCGTAGCAAGTTTGAAAGTTGTATCAAATTTTTCCTTGTTCTTCGTGTTTCCAGTGTTGTTTGACCACAGTTGTCAAGTCTTTCTTTGTATTGCAAGTGTCGTAGACTTGTGATCAACTTTGCAGCCATTCTTTAAACGTTCTCAAGAACTGTTTTGTTCTTTTCAAGATAGGGACATTAAATCTAAGTGCGATCTTATTAAGGGTTTGTATAACCTTGTTGTTACAGTTTTTTCCATGCTCGATATCGTTCTTTAAATAGTCCCTGGCATTTGACTGGCCCTTTAAGCAATTTCTTGTCACTGGCATTGATGGCTTACAATCTTGAGTAATGAAAACACTTAGGTAATTCAGTAATTAACTTAAGTTCATTTCCACATAGTGTCTGTTGAGCTTTCTGATTTATTGCCGAGATGCAGGACTGAATACTTTTCAAAATTGAAGTGCATCTGGCATAATCATGGATTTAATGGCATTATCTTTATCTGATTAGATATCTTCCAGACCTAGACAAACAAATGACAAGCTAGAAAAATAACAATAATGTCTTGGTTTTAAGCGGAAAACCAAAATATTAAAGTACATTTCAATTAAATTGAATATATGGAAATTTTTTAAGAACTAACTTAAGAATGAACTTAAATTAAGTTAAATTAAGAACTTAAATTAAGAATGCTCGTACACATAATCCAGAATCCTTATTTAATGCAAAAGTGTAACGGTATCAGTCATAATTAAAAGATAACAAAACTTTTAAACATTTGATATTAGTAGATTTTAGGGTTATAAGTTATAGTGAATCCATTCGAATAGCTAGCGTTTTCGAAACCCCGCCATTGACGTAATTTTTTTAGGCTTTCCAACATTTCAAACATCAATAATTTGTATAAATTGGATGTATCAATTATTATAGTATGAAAAAGAAAATTATCGATTCAATTAAAGTATATAAACTAACTGCATCTTTCTTTTAATATTACTGATTCTTGTCTATCTTGGTTTTCTTCTTATCTCTGTAATCGTTTTTCTTCTGTTGTTCTCAATAACTCTACTTCTAACTCCTCTACTCTTACTTTCGGGGTACCTCAGGGTTCTATCCTTGGCCCTCTTCTATTTATACTCTATACTTCTGAACTACCTCGTATTATTAATAACTTTTCTTTCTCTAGTCAACTATATGCTGATGATTCTTATATTTATACTTCTTTTCCTCCATCTAATCTCAATAGTGTTCTTCATAATTTATCTCTATGTCTTTCTTCGATTATCGCTTGGTCTGACTCTATGTGTCTTAAACTTAATCCTTCTAAGTTTGAATTAATTTGCTTTAATAAATCTAAACACTCAATTACTATTCCTCCTATTATCTTACCTGATTCTAAAACTCTTGATGTCTCTCATAAGTTTTGTAGTCTAGGTTTTATCTTTGATTCTACTATGTCTCTCTCTTCTCAAATTAATAGTGTTGCTAGAAGCTCTTACTTTCATCTACGTAGAATAAAAAAACTTTTGCCTTTTCTTGATGATCCCACTCTTCTCCTTCTTGTTACTTATTGTATTATTGTAACTCGCTCTACTATGGTCTTCCTGACTCTATACTCTATCCTTTAAGTAAAGCTTTTAACTCTGCTGCTCGTCTAGTTGCTCGTGCCCCTTTCTTTTCTTATATATCTCCATATCTTGTTCTCTTGCACTGGCTACCTATAAAATATAGAATAATTTTTAAAATTTGCACGTTCATGTAGAAGTCTCAATCTAAATTATTTCCTAAGTATTTATCAGATATATTAATTGAACCTAAACGCCCCGGTTTACGATCGTCTTCTTCTCGCTTTTTCTTAACTCGTGTTAAACACTCTTTTGCCAAATCTGCTTTTGCTTTTTCTGGTCCTTTTCTCTGGAACTCTCTACCTACTTCTCTGACTACTTCTCCATCACTTGCGAAGTTCAGAGCGGATCTCAAGACCCATCTGTTTTCAAAATTCATTGAGGAGCGCTGTTGAACATCGCGGAAATAGCGCTTTATAAGCTAATTGATTGATTGATTGATTGATTGATTGATTGTTTAATTGAAGAGATTAATCAGCAGTTAGGTAGTCACGAGTAAGCGCTAAAGTATTTTTGGTTGTTAATATTTTCCGCCCTTAAGATGGTAATTTTGCAATTTTGTTAAAAGGGTTAGGGAATGCGGTGATGAATGGCGTTTAAAGTTCTGCTGAAATGAAAGTTTTTATTTTGCTCTCGCATCAAGAAGAGTTTTAACTAAAACAAGCGTTCTTTTTAATTTTTTTAAAATACCATTAACTTCTGTAAATTTATTTGGTTATTATATCAGTCCATTCTCTTCCTTTTTTATTTATATAGGACTTCAAAAAAAAACCAATCTAGGACAGGAGTTTTAATAAAAAAAAAACTAGAAAATGGTGAAGCTGAAATAAAACTTGTTTAAATTAAATTGAAGGAAACTTGTAATTAACTGCACTCTAATACACTGCACTCAATTTCATTATTAAAAACTTAAATTAAAACTATTTATAAACCCCAAAGCGGATCTGTGTAAAAAAGTAAATGTAAATCTGTGGTAACAATTAAATTAAAATATTTTAATTTTAATATTAAATTAATGTGTTATATTTGTTATAATTATAATAAAAATATATAGGAAGAAGATTTTATAAATAAATAAAGAAAGGACTAAAAACATTAAATAATAAAGTCAAAACCCCTTCCCTCTTTTCTTTAGTCTTTACTTGCTTGGGCACTTTTGATGTTGAACAGAGCCATATATTATAATATTTTATGGTAATTAATAAATAATTGATAGACATTTATTTGCTTTTCAATAAAACACGATGAATGGCTGGAAGCTCCTCAAAGTATGATGTTTTTCTTTTTTCCACATATGACTACTAGTTCAAAGAGCTACCAAAAATGGGAGCCAGACAATCATCGGCTGTAGATAGTGGAAGTCAAAGTAGTTATGCCTCGAATGCATCAAATATGGCATCAGGATCTCGACTACCACCACCACCACCCTCATCTGTACATTTTGGTCATCACAACATCAGTTCTTCTCCCATCCCTGAATCATCAAATCCAAGTACAAGCTCTCTCACTGGCTTGAGTTACAGCTTACCGCCGAACTACTTGAGATTCACTAACAATCGACATGTTATATCGGACACTCGACAATCACAAAATGCAAGTTATCAACTCTCCAACTCAGATGACAGTTCCCCAGATAACACACCACTTGATCGATTCCTTTTTACACATATCTTTGCCCTACGTGGTTTGTGTGGAATACTTCACATTCATTTTATATCATTTATTTATTTATTGCAGCTTATATAACAATCTTGCTGTTTTTTAATTCATATTTTTTATTCTAAACAAAAGTTTGCATTGCATTGCACTGTAAAACTCATTGATTTATTTAGAATACTTAAAATTATAAATAAATTGTCACCCACCCAGATATAAAGTGTCCATCTTGCCACAAGTCAATCCCGTCTGACAATGTTGAGTGTCACCTAATTGAGTGCCTGAGCAAACCTCTCATCAGTTACAATGGTCGAGTACAAAGTTTTACACATATTATTTCCTGTTTTTCCATTTGTTCTTATTTTCATTGAGTAAAATCTTTTTTACAGTAGACTCTCATAACATTTATCTAGTTGCACTACTTGATATTTTTTCTAGTTGTACAACCAGATAATTTCTCATAAATAAAACTGCATAATTTTTAAACTGGATAGAAACTACATAGGTTTGAATTTGTTGAGTTAGTTAACTTTATTTTTTCTTAAATAATTTTTTTAAATGTTTAATTTATAGGTTTAGGCATAAACAAGTTTTTTTAAATTGAATTCATATTTAAAAGCTATTATTATGATGACTTTAATGATGAAATTTAATTTTGCAACTGACAAATGAATTTATGCAGAAGACATACTGACAGAAAATAAAGAAGAGTGTAGCATTTGTTTGGACGAGTTGAAGGAAGGCAATGTCATAGCACGATTACCATGTCTTTGCATCTATCACAAAAGGTGTTTGTGCACTCTTGTTGCTGTTGCTATTATATAGTCTTTGTTGCTATTATTTTGGGGTACTGTTGTTAATGTATGCAGCACTTATTCAAGTGATTGTGAATGAATTTGTTGAAGTTTTGCATTGTATGCAAATGTTTGTTAACATTGTTGTTAATATTGATAATTTTAGCTGGTACAAAATTCTTTAGCTATTCATAATATAATTAATTTTGGGTATTTTAATTTCTTATCCTATCTCTTGTATGAGTTTTGTTCTTTAAATTTTTATTGGGACATTTTAATACCATTTAAAATTAACACTAAGTGATGAATTAAATTTCTTTTTTCAGCTGTATCGATGAATGGTTTCAGGTCAAACGGTCCTGTCCAGAGCATCCAAATGATTAATAATTCTTCATCAACATTACAATTATGACAAATGGTGGTTTATCATCATTATAATAATGATTGATGATCAATGATGGATTGTTGTTTATAATATTGTAAAATTCTACTGTGTATTTATGATTTAATTAATTTTTAATAAATCGTTTTAACTATTCTGACTGAGTTTGATCAAATATTGGAAATTAATTGAGATGATTAATTAAGATGGATTATTTTTTTTTATACAGTGTTAATCTTGCTTTTTTATTTGACTGTCACATCCCATCTTGAGATATAAAATTCATTCGTTTTAAGACAATTCAAGTTGGAAATGTTTGCTACATTATGATTGAAATAGCTACAAATTGGGTTTTTAATGTTACCACTGCTATTATTGTTACTTTTTTAAACTTAATTTAAATTTGTACTTAACAGTTGTGCTCTGTTTTCGTTATTATATAAATCATAATTTAAATATGAAAATAAATTTTCTGTGATGATTGGTCGTTTTTTTCATCTCAAAATTAAACATATGATAAATTTTATTACTTTAGTAACTAGTCACTTTGGAGTGAACAAAATTTCTGTTGGCGAGGTTAATGTAATATAGAAAAAGTTAATTTATTGTTGGTTGATAAAATAAAATTTTAAAATTTTCGTTAATTTCATTTACTGACTTAAGTCTGAATGTGGATTTGTTAAAAGATTTTAATTTTACGAAATTATTTTTCTTTCTGTGTATATTTGCAGTGCCGTCTTCGATTTATTCAAATTTATAATAATTTGAATGGTTTGCGTTATTTTGAAAAGGTGAGTTTTAGTGAAAACATGAATCTCGATTGAATTCCAAAATGACATCAGATAAATAGCAAAATAAGTAATAACGGTGTTGTAAGAAAAACTTAACAAGTTTATTTCCAATAATCCTTAAAGATTAAGACATTCAAAATAACGTAGGATGCAAAAAAACTTTTGGTTCAATGTAGAGGTGAGCATAAGAACGTAAATCCCATGGAAATTGGTAAAACTTAGTTTTCGGGAATGGGAATTTCATGGAATCGCTGTTCGGGAATTTGGAATGATGGGTAGAAATGGGAAAAATGACATCAACGTGCGAAAATAAAAGCCTATATATACATCATGCACATAGTGATCGACGCATACGAATTTGGGAGATTCGGAATGAGAAATAAAATGGGAGTGAATTGGGAACAAATTTCAATTCCCGCTCACCTCCAGTTCAATGCATAGTTGGGATTTTTCGTCAACAAATAATATTTATTCAATATATTGGAAGACTTAGTGATACTTCTCCAAACTGGGTCAGTTCTTCCATTGTTGGAATTCCGTTCATTTAAAAAAAGTATGACGATTCCAACTAAATATCGTATTTGCTTTTAATGTTCATAAATCGAATCATAGTTGTTTAACAATAGCTTTCCGGATTTCGCTAATAATGATTTTAGCCTGTAGTAGAGAACAGCTATCGTTACAACTTTTCAACGAGATTTTTGAGCTTAAATAAATGAAGCTTATTTTTCTAATTTTTTTGTTTATTTTTAATTGTAACAGCAATTTAAAATATATGCATTAGGATACTTGAACTTTACAGCTATTTTTTTCATTTTGTTAATATTTCAATTTTCCAGTAAAATTTTAAAAATTTGTAAATTTCATTCGTAAATTATTGTTTAATAAATACTAAAACCGAAATGTCGATATCACATTGTGCGTATGATGTACATGTAGAGGTAGATCAAGGATGACAATGTCAACTGACCTGCCATTATCAAGAGAGTCAATCTGTAGAACAACCAGAATCCATAATAGTTGGCCAACAGTGCTGAGTACAACAGGACTGCTGTGTGCGTGTGGTTTAGTATGCATGTACGTTTGTATGCGACTGTGTGCGTGTGCCTGCGTGTGAGTTTGCGACTGTGTCTGTACGTTTATATGCGTGTGTGTGCGTGAACATGCCTGAACCTTTGACGTGTTTAAAATGGAAAAATTTGTTACGAGCGTTTCATATTGCTGTTTATAATCATTAAGTGTTAAAATATCACAAATTTTGCACAATTTTCAAACGATTAACATTCGAAGAGAAAACTAAACAATGGTAAGAACTGACCTACAAACATCAAGGAAGCAGACGTGATGACCTTCGTGAAGCCTGGAAAGAGGAAATCGACGGAGAGATTGAGCCAAATGAAAACACTGACGTAGCTGAAGAAGAACATTCCAATGAGGAGGATGTGGTAGGAGAGGATGAGGTGGTAGGATTGGCACAAGTTGACCACTGAATTCACGTACATCTCATATGATATGATGGCTAAAGCTGCCGAACAACGTCGTTTATTCATACTTGGTGAATATTACAATATCAGAAAATAAAACTTATTTTGTATGATTGTCACGGTATTCTATGTTCATTTTTACTTTTAATCTGTTACTCTGGTTGTTGATCTAACAATGGTTGTAAGTTTGATTCAGAGCAGTTACATGCGTTGTTAAATGTAATTCAATTTACTGTTTCTGCAACTATTCATTTACAGTTTCAAGTCTTACTTTTGCAAACAACTTTTTGTTGATTAAATTCAAATTTCAATATTTTTTAGGAAACTTCATACAAATTAATATAATTTGTTGTTTGTTTACATGCATTATATGTATATATTTTGTTATTGTTTTCTGTTTTGTTAACGTTAAAAGTAATCTTGACGCTTATAAAATATTATTTGAAGAATAATAAGATAATAAATTTAACGTAGCAATAGTTTTTTTTATTGTTATGAAAGCAGTTTATAATTTTTCTAACATTTATCTTTCGATTTATAATCATTATATTGTTAAGCAATAGTTGTTTTTAACGTTAACGAAGGTTTTGTTCGGTTTTTGACCTCATTTTAAAGTTTCAATTATTAAATTTGTAAAGACAGGTCCAATTGTCCATTTTCAATTTTTAGCCACTATAGTAATTTAAGCAATTAAAGAACAATATATAGCATACAAAACAAATAAAAAAATAGTGATGAACTTTATTTTATCAGTTTAACTTTTGATAAGTCCTTTAGCGTAAATCATTACAGCAGATAAGAGTATAAATATTGATATAATCGATGCAGCTCTTTCCATTGTACTAGTTCTGTACCAAATGTCTTGCAGACACACGATGTCTATTGCAGCTGTGATGTTGATAGTTCAATTTTTTAACTTTTGAAATAAATTAAAAAAAAAACTTTTGGATTTTTCATTTACTTTTTTAACTTGTTATACTATATTCTAAATTATATAGAGCAAATGAATTCCTATATGACATTACCATACTTTTTTACTGATGCCACTATATAATATTTAATAACCATATTTAATAGCCTTCTTTCACAAAAAATCAATGCTTTCCAAAAATATATAAAGACTAACCGCATAAGAGAATAAGGTTCCCTTCGATGAATTTTCCAAGTTTGTAAATTTTTAATAACCTCAAACCGCATGCTTCCATAAAAACATGCATCGCTAATAGTGTCATTATGTACATCTTTAAAACGGCTAAGTAAAAGACGTACTCCGATCTGAAATATTCGTAAGTAAAAACTAAGCAGTTGATATGAATGGCGATGGCCGCCAAAACAAACGAGGCCGCTTGACTTTGTAAATGAATCATGTAACTCTATGGCGAAAATTATGCTAACGTATAACGATTAATGTGAGCCTTAAACTTTTAAAGCTTTGGTTTTTAAATTATTTAAATGTGTAACAATCACGCATGACAATAGCTAAATTTTTGATGCTGATCGTTTATCAAAAAATTCTACATCGTCAAAAGTTGAAAACTCATTTTTCCGTAATAACGAATATGACACAACATGTTAATAAAGGTAATGGAAATGGTTGAAGCAAAAATAATTTTAACATCGATCAACATCCGAGAAATAGTCATAAATAATATACTATTTACAATCAATTTCAATTAATGACGTTTTGGTCAGTTGCATCGACGTTCATTTTTTAAATTGAAACTCGATTTTTATTTACTAGATGTTTAATTTATCGATTGCGGAATATGCAATCATGAAACTCGCTGCTATTGAAAGTACAGAACACATATAACATGGCAAGTAGACCTTAAAGTCCTGCACATCATCATAGGTTGCCCTAACGGATATCGCCATCATCAACAACGCTGTTGGAATAAATTTTGAGAATGAAATTTATGTTGCAATAATTTTAACAATGCTAAGAAAATATTTTACCGGCACTGAAAACAACTAATGCGATCATCCAAATTTGAATCTTTGAAAATTTCACCTCGGCTGTTTCTTCATTATAGTACATGAATACCACAAAAAATGCCGCACTCGAGAAGGTAATGGTAGCAAAATTCAAGTAAATATTTCCTATGACACCTTTCCAAGAGCTGATGACTATGTAGAGGAGCATGTCGTAAGCTATAAAATATAACACACATCCCGATTCTTCAAATTTCATGATTCTGATAAACCTATTTGAATGATTATAATTATATATTAGTATATGCTTAATAACCATGCTTTTTGTTTGATTATTTGATGATTACATGATTATTCTAATTAATTGTTGATTAGATATCACAAAATGCCTTCAAATATCATTTAAGACTTAAGTTAATGGACAAACAAACAACAGCCTATTCAAATATATAAATTGAAAAAAATGTATTTATATATATAGACACAAAAACATCTAACCAGTTTTTCAATTTAAGAATCAGTTGATTAAATTATTTTGGTAGTATATTTTCAGCGTATTTGTTTTCAGCGGCGTTCACGTTCCGTTTTATCCGAAGTTACCCGATTTGACATTGCCAATATACCACATCTACAATATTACCCTAAAGATTATTGCGTTTTTGTGTATGAAAATGCATGCATAATTTGGTAATAAAGCTTCTTAATGTGTTCACAGATTTTTACACATTCATGAGTGTGGAATTGAAAACATTGTTAGTAAATAAGCAGAGCAACATATGTTTATGCTCCAACACTTTTCTCTACGAAAAGTAAACCTAAATAAGAAATTGTTGTTTTCCGGGTGATTTATAAGCAAATTCACATAGTTATTCGTCATTAAATCATAAAAATTTATCTAATAGAATGATTTAGTCAATAAATTAAGTTTTGTTAGCACATTTTCATGGATGTTTTGACTACATTCAAATGTATATTGTAGTTCTCTTTAATTTAAATTAAGTTTTAACAAGACAAGATGCAAATTGGCATAGACTGGAAAGAATGTATCAGGGACTCTCCTAAATTCAGGTCTTTTTTGTGGAATGGAATGTCCATATTAGTATTCTCCATTTATTATAATTTCTCAATGAGTATTTTACGCTATGTATTAAAATTTTATAGGTCAGCCTTAGCAGATCATGAGAGAGACCTTGAAACTCTGGAGGGACACATTGAAAAAGTTGTTCTCTTTAGTTTTTTCCATAAATATACTTGTCTTCTAAAGTCAACAAAAGTTCATCAAACGTTCCTTAACCTAACCCCTAACCCAGCACTTACCAACCCAAATTTATACTAAACATCATTTCAAACTTTAAATTATTTTCTAGTCCCTGGAAAAATTTAATTTTTAATATTTTTTTATTTCTCTGAAATAGTCTAACGTCTACTCTACTAATGCTATCTAAAGCTGAATTTTAGTTAATAAACGTTTGCTAGCTTATCACAAGTACCTCTCTAATTTTTTCCATGAATCTTTTGCTTTTCATTATCATTTTTTTCCTCAAATAAATGTTTAAATTTTGTTGGTTTAATTCTTTTAATACGTTTAATTATGATTAAATGATTTAATTATGTATTTAATGAATTTAATATATATATATATAATATATATATATATATATATATATATGTATATATATATATATATATATATATATATAAGTTAAATGAATTTAAAAATTTTTTTTGTTATATTGCTGTGGATGGTAGTGGTATTGTGCTGTGTATGGAGTGAAAACTGTGACTGTTTATTTTGTGGTTGAAGAAATCTTTGAGTGTTGGTGGATAGTTGTTGAGACGTTGTTTTAGAATGTCCGGACCAGATGTGTATATTGAAATGGCTTCTTAATTCTTAACTGTTACTCATCTTTTTGTGAATGAAAAAATTTTAGATTTTTATGTTGTTCCCTATAGCTACTAATCTATTGAATAATCATTTATTCATTTTATAGTCTTTATTTAAAAATTTAAACATAATTAATTATCAATACATACGTAGATTACATTAGTAAAGTAAAATTTCTTTCTTGTAAATGTAAACTTTACATTAATCAATGTGTCATAATAAACTAATTTTCTAATGGTTTGAATTTATGTTGCATTAACTAATCACTAATTGTAATGAAAAAATTAGCTTATAATGTTAATTGTTAAGCTATTTTTAATAAATTATCTTAAATCAAATGAACTATTTTACATGATTTTAGATTTTTAATTTAAAAATAGAAATTTGTTAACTATTGATGGAATTTGTCTTTTTCTTTAGCTTCTAAAGCAGTGTGATAACATCATAGACAGTAGCAAAGCTTATCAGAATGCCAATACGTTTGTATTGTGTGGTTTTTTTTCTTGTTTAAATATACATCCATTCTTTAAACATCTTTGTATTTAAATTATTTATTACTGAATTTTGTTAAATGTTCATAATTAGATAAAATAATAATCGAATTTGGATAAGGGCAGTTTAAAATTCATTTTAGTATTCATTCAGCAATTAATTTATATGTTAGTTTAATAATTTGTGATGGCATAAGAGTAATTTGGGGAAAGTTTTTACATCCGGACACCCATCCTGATGACAACCACCAGTTATAAGCGATGGGCCTAGCCTTTTGCTCAAAAGCACGCAAGGCAGCGTGGATGCAGTTTTATGTCATGCCCAGGACGTTCTCAAACAAAAAAAAACAATAAATTCATTTGATAATATAGTTGATATATATATTTATATATAACATATTTTATAATTAGTAATGTAACAGAATTAGGTGACTTAATGTACGAGAAAACAATAGTTATCATTTAATAAATACAAATATTTAATAACACAAACTTCTCATACTTCAAATGTATACGAATACTAAGACTCTTGTCAGCACAACGGTTGGAAACACAGATGCATTTGACATCGGCGTTGGAGTTCACCAAGGCTCGATTCTCAGTCCACTGTTATTTATAACTGTGGTGGAAGAAATCACAAAACCGATATGCACTGGTGACATTTGGAATCTAGTATATGCTGATGATATCGTTTTAACAGCCACGTCTGAGCAGAATGCAGCACAGATGTTTGAAGATTGGAACACCAGACTCGCCGATCATGGATTCAAAGTCAACATCAGCAAAACCAAAGCAATGAACACTGGTGAACCCATCCAATCCACAGCTACTGGACGATGGCCCTGTTCAGTTTGTAAAGCTGGTGTTGGTAACAATTCAATCAAGTGTCAGCAGTGTAACCAGTGGTGTCACAAACGTTGTTCAAAAATAATTGGTACTTTATCTAAAGTGTCCAATTTTGTTTGTCCTGCTTGCATCAATCCTCAACAACAAATTCGAAATAGCACTGTTTTTGAAGCCATTAAGGTAGAGAAAGTCACATCGTTTCAATATCTAGGAGATGTTCTGGATTGTACTGGAACAGCTGAAGCTGCCGTTCGAGCACGCATACGTGCAGCCTGGAATAACTGGCATCTCCTTGCCTCTATATTGATGTGGCGTGACATCCCACTATCACTACGATCAAGACTTTATAAATCTGTGATACGTCCGGTGTTGTTTTATGGTGCAGTGACAACCAAACTGGAACAGCAACTTCAACGAACCGACATGGAAATGCTCCGATGGATGCAACGAATTAGTCTGAAGGACCACATCAAATCTACCGAAATCCTGCGTCGTGCTGGTTTAGATGATATAAAGGACGAATGCCGGCAACACCGTCTGCGGTGGTTTGGTCATGTCAAACGAAGTGGAAACAGTGCCATAACTTCTCTTGCAGATGTTGAAGTACCAGGCACACGTCCCAAAGGCCGTCCAAAGAAGTCCTTGTCGCAAACAATCGAGCAAGACATGAAAGCTCTAAATTTAAATGAAATGGATACAACTGATCGTCTAATTTGGCGCAAAAAGTTGATGGCAAAGAGAACAACGTCCTACCTCGGGAAACTGGGTCTCTGGACTCAAAACGAAGATTGATTGATCGATTAGTTTAATAATTATAATCAAGTTGAAAATGTTATGATGGCCTTGTTACTCACTCACTAACCTCATGTTAATGTAGTTTACATTTAATTATTATCAGATCATTTCTGAACAACATTCAATTGCTCATGGTTCACTTCAAAGATGACACAATGTTGCTGGTAGGTCAAATAGTTGGTTGTTAGTTCTTTGTTGGTTTAATTTCTCGCTAGGCTCTCCTTCATTTTTTCTAGGTGCTGTGTTGGGATTATAATTGTCATTTGTTGTTTTAATTTATCAATAGGCATTGGATCAGTTGGGAATGTTATGAAATAATTTAAATTTTTTCTATTTTAGGAGGCCATAGGAAAGTTTACACAATGTTTAAGTCAGTGGAATCTGAACTATAATGTGTGTTTTATTATTTTTATTTTATTTTTTTTTGTTTAAACATCATTTTGTTTACTATATTATTTGCTGATTAAACGGTTTTTTCAAGTAATTTATTTAAAAAAATTTTTTTTCAAAAATTATTTACCTTGAATGGAATTCATAGAACTTTATATAACTTTTGTTGACAACATCAAAATTGATTTTTCAATCTCATATTTATTACTTTCCACCAAACCATTCTTATTCATACAGACCATGATTGAGAACTGCAACTCGTATTTCATCCAATGTATGAATTCTTTCATAAAAAAGTATGTTCTGTTTGATATGATTCACAAATTATAATATTAACAAGAATTGTTAGCACAAAAGGGTTTCAATTTTATATGTTTTCAGATATCACCGAGAAACAAACAATCTCAAAATTGTCTTTTTACCTGTTTACATTCATTTTGTATCCTCCATGTACATTCAATTCTAGTTTTTGGTCAAATTGAGCAAACATTCATTCATTGATTTATCGATCATTCACTCCATCCACAAACATTCATTCATTCATGGATCATTCACTCCATCCACAAACATTCATTCATTGATCATTCACTCCATCCTCAAACATTCACTCATTCATTGATCATTCATCATTCCATTCGCAAATAGCGACATCAAACGAGTGAAGGACTCCCGACGAAATTTTCACAAAAATTCAGAAGATGTGGGTACGGCGTTCAGCCGGAATGCGCAGGTGCCGAAGAGTAAGTTGGGAGAGTGCGAAGAAGCGGCTTCGAATCTTGTCATCAGCAGGAATAATTTCAAGAAGGCCTCCATTGATTACCTGTTTGAAGTTAACATCATCCAATATAAGAAGAGAACTGAAGTGCTCAACTGTGTTCGTCTTTATTTCAGATTTTGTTTCTAAAACTATAATTTCATTCCATTTTTTTATACAATTTAAAAACAACTATTCTTGTTGCTACATTTTAAAGGTTAAAAACTATGTAACCTAATGAAAATGAATAAACTCTGAAATCTAATGAACCATCAATGAATTTATTTATTTTAATAGTTGCTGTCACATTTGAAGGGACATCAGTCATTCATCGTGCAAACAAATTCAACATTCAACGATTTAAATCCATACATTCAGCAAATTTCCGCCAGCGTTAGTTCTTATTTTAAAATTAGCAATAATCTAAATCATAATAAAAGTAACCATAATATTTCTATTGGTAAGTAGTTGAATTTTAGAAGAAACCAGGGATTGTTAATATTAGCAAGCACAACTTACTTGGGATCATTTTTAAATTAATGAACTGTATACTTTAGCCTAAAGTATTTTAATTTATTAACACAAATAACATCACGCTTTATCAGGTCACAGCTCAAAATCATATAAAAACATGTTTGTAGTAGAATCACATCACTCAAATTATCACATTACATCATCGTCACATCATAACATCATCACATCCCGATATAGTAGCAACATTGTCACGTCCCTCTATATCATTATTACATCATTGCATAACATTGTTATGAGATAAGACTATCGCTACTTTTTAATATAGCTGCACATCATTATGATATTACCATGCTTGGATATCAAAATGTAATTATATCGTTTGCATTATGATATTGTGTGTTATATCCGCCAGAATGGTGGAATTACGCCGTTTAATTAATTATTGTTATCTTGTTATATTCGCTATTTCGCTATCTGTCATCAATTGTAAACCATAGAATCTTTTCATACCGTCGAGGATTGTAAAAATCTACTGTAGAAGCTATATAAGGGATAGCAGGAGTAGCAAAGTCAATAGCGAGGTTTGAAGCCAAGTCGTAAATACTTGGATTAGTTTAGTGTTTCTATTGCCGTTGGCATTTGAATAAACGTCCCACCAAGTTTGCGTTTGATGCTGTTGTGCTCATCTATCAACAATCTCGAAGCTATGGAATAACGATAACTTGACGATCGTCGGAAGCTACTACACTGGTAGTTACGAATGTCAAAGTGTTATTGCAATTTATTAATGCATTATCATTATTATGATATCATTACATGATATCATCACATCACGATATATAGTATCATAGTATCACATCATCACCGCGATACCAACCATTACAACATACAGTTACAGACATTACAGAATGAAGCAGCATCTACCAGGCAGCAACTAAGAAATGAATCCAACACAGTTCTCAACCTGGTCAGCTATATATTCAATCATTAGTCATCTTTATCCACTTCATGCGACGCACACGCACCTTTCGTGATGCATGTGCATGCATCACGTCATACGAGTATAATGATCTTTTCGTTTCGGACAGGGCTAACTCGGTGACCATATTACAATGACCTAACATTTATAATGATGTAAATTAATAACTTTTCATTGAAATGATGAACAATGGCAACATTACATTGAAGCAATAATTTGCATGGCGCACAGGCCATGAGCTCTTCAGTGGATGACCATCGCATGTCGACCAGCACCTCCAGTCAGATTGATGTTTATCCAAATGAGGAATGCATGGAGGGCTACCTCTACAAGAGAACCACTAAAACTTTCAAGTCGTGGGTCAGGTGTGCAGTTATTTTGTGCTGTTGTTTGACGGGTTGTTGTTTGACGGGTTGTTGTTTGATGGGTTGTTGTTTGATGGGTTGTTGTTTGATGGGTTGTTGTTTGATGGGTTGTTGTTCGATGGGTTGTTGTTCGATGGGTTGTTGTTCGATGGGTTGTTGTTCGATGGGTTGTTGTTTGATGGGTTGTTGTTTGTTGAGCCGTTGTTTCACTTAGTGTAGTGCAGTGTGTTGTGGCAGCACTCTCAAGTTTTTATCTGCTATTTTGGTGTTTGATGACTTACATGTGTAGGGATTTACAGCATAGTGTGTTCGTTTATGCCCAGTTGCCTGGGATAGGTTTATACTGCGGTTAATGATATTTATTTTTATTGCTTTTTTTTTAATTCCAGTTAATTTTTTCTGGAGATAGTTATTTGTTGTGGATGGCATTTTCTAATATTGTAGAAAAATGAAACAAATTTGAAACTTATTCTTCTGATTTGGATTTTACTAAGTAAATAAGTTAATTATTTTGGTTGTACTAGGCGATGGTTCATAGTAGACAACAACCAGCTGATGTACTGCAGTCAGCACAAAAGTAGGGAAGGTGCTGTTATCATGGAGCGTGATTTGAGACTGTGCAATGTTGTACCATTCCAAGATACAGATCGTAGGTTTTGCTTCCAAATCATTTCACCACACAGGTTTGAAACATTGAATTTTAATTATTTTATAAATAATCCTCAACTGCTAATTATTCAGTGTTTTGTTTGGAGAACTATTTTGCTTGTCACAAATTTTTTTTTTGACGAGTCATTCACATCTTATCCATAATCTGTATTTTAGGACTCATCTGTTGCAGGCAGACAATGAGAAGGATTGTCAAAAATGGGTTGCTTTCATTCAGGAGACAGCCAAGAAAGCTTACAACAGAATGAACAGCACACCTTCATGCATTAAAGTTGGTTGCATGTTTATTTGAAATGTACGTTGTGTGGCTGTGTGGTTGATTAGTCTGCTGCTTGGTGGATCCTTTGTTAGCATTATTTTGTCTGTTAGACTTGTTGCTTGTTCTTTTTTGCTCTATTCGGTTATTGACTTGATTGAATGATATAATGTTATCAACTGGTTATTGGCAGTCGTCAAGCAGTGCTGATTTGATGGCTTCTTCATGCAGTCCTTTGAGATGCGTGTCAACAAAGTCTCCACCCTCCGCTACTTCTAATCTTCTTCCAAAAATACCTAGGTAGTCATCATCTTTCCATGTTGTCATTTCATTATTTTAGTCACATTTATTGTTTTTTTTTCATCTTAGCTCACTCAAAATACCACCCTATTAAAAACGTGCAGGCTTTAAATATTGTTTTTTTTTATGCAGTCATGTAAAGTCCATCCTAACGATTTCCGGCAACGACGTCTGCTGTGATTGTGGTCATCCCGATCCGAGGTGGGCATCCTTCAACCTGGGCGTCACCTTGTGTATTGAGTGCTCTGGTATTCATAGGTCTGTTTGTTTCTTTCTCTCTTTTAACAAATTTCAAATTGTTTTCTTTTGTGTCTTGATTTTTGTCTACATGTATTCATAATATTTTGTATAACTTTCCTCATTTTGTATTTTCATAATAACAAATCCCAATAATTACATTCCTTTTTTCACCATAGTGATCACAACGTTATCATTATTCATAAACCCCGTTAACCATCAAACCAAGCGAACTTCAAAATTTGCAACACTCACCTAGGAGTTTTGGGGTACACAAATCTAAGGTGAAATCTGTGACCTTGGATGCCTGGGAACCTGACCAGGTGAGGGTCATGGAACAATTAGGCAACGACATTGCCCGAAGAATATTTGAATTGTTCGTTTGTGAGGATGGTGACGTTTGTATGAATGACGCAGGGACCAAAATAGTCAAGGCCACGCCTAACTGTAGCAGGTTTGTTGCTCGTCCATGCTTTGTTCTTAACCCATTTTAGATTGCTTTTTTGAATTAATTGAATTTTAGTAATATTTTTTGTAATTGAAATACTTTAGCAATAAGTTAGAAGCGGATAATTGTTTGTTATAAATAACATGACTGTTCAATTCACATCTAATATAGTATATACCATAATGAATGATGTAATGTATATTGAACAAATATAACTGGACTGATGATGGAGCAGAGAGGTGAGAGAGGAATGGGTCACAGCCAAGTATTTGAAGCGTTCATTTGTTAGAAGATCCAACAGCCAGAACCACCCAACCATGCCCTCAACTCCTCAACTGAAGAATGCTGTTAAAATGAATGGTTAGCTAAAAAAATTGCTAAAAATGCTCGCTTTTTTTAGCAATTTCATTTTATAATTCATTTTTTCCTTCAATTCATAAATTCAATTTATTGATTTATGTAAAATAAAACGGTTATCACATATTTTTATGTAAATAAATGGGTATATAAATACACATATACGACTAATATATAAATTTTTAAAATCTTTATATTAACTACATTGATCATAGATAATGCTACTAAAAAAGCGTTTTATATAGAATATATAATGTAATAAAAACGTATCACAAATTTTCTTAGTAACCTAAATAACTTTTTATAATATTTTATGTTAAAAAGAATTGTGAGGCTTTTACTAATTATAACCTACTCTATAATAACTCTAATAAACAACATAAACAACTCTACGTGTTGTTTATGAACGACTAGATGTGCAATCGCTCTTTAAAACCTTGACATTAATAACTCAATTATACGTAACTTTATCAGGCTTGATTGGATAGTAAATTGAAAACGTTTCCTAATTAACACGGGAGTAAAAATAAAATTATAATTAATTGTTTGTTGATGGAATTTTGTTACACCCACAAGTAACAAGGATTAATTGATATTGAATATTATTCCCAGAGGACAGTATTGTTTCCAATATCATGAATGGGATTGAAATTGCTGATGCAGATGATGATGACGATGGAGATGATTGCAGCAACCAATTTAATGCTGGTAGACTAATTACATCGTTCAGCTGTTAATAATATTTTTTTACATTTTTCATCCTTTTTTAACCTTCAAATTTTATTCTTTTGATAATGTTTGTTAAAAATATTTAAAACTTTTCTTTTTAATTTTGTTATACTGAACATTAGAATGAATTGCTTACTTGATGAAACGTTGGCAGCCGTAGACGGTGCTGATGCGTACGGCAATGATTACTGGCTGAACCAGGATGCAGATGATAGCGAAGCAGCAAGCAAGCTGCTATGCAGAGCTGCTGAGGTGGGCAACCTTCCTGGCATGCTGAAGGCACTGGCCCTTGGCGCTGATGTCAATTTCAAGAATACAGAGGACAGTGATAAAACACCGCTCATTTATTCACTTACAACCGTTAGTCAATTTGCTTCTACTAATACTTTTTGGTACAATCTTGTTTCAGTTGTAATAACCTCATTCCTCTAATATTTTCATTTACTACCGTTTTTTCTTGTGAAATATAATTTTTTTTCTTTTTGATTTTCTTGTTACTTAGATAGTGCAAAAATGGGTATCTAATATAAACTTTCAGCACATGAAATTAACTTGTTACAATTCAATGCAATTGAATAAAAGTTGCATCTAACATGCACATTCACATGCACATGCAGGGTCTGAATGCTCCAGTGGAGTTCATGTTGTTGAACGGATCGAAAGTTGACGTGCCTGATGCTGACAAGAAGACACCACTGCACCATGCTGCCATTCTCGGCAATGCTGGGTCTGTCACTCTTTTCTTCTATTATGCTTTCATGTTGTTTAGTATACCTTTTGCTTATATATTGATGCGGCGTGACATCCCACTATCACTACGATCAAGACTTTATAAATCTGTGATACGTCCGGTGTTGTTTTATGGTGCAGTGACAACCAAACTGGAACAGCAACTTCAACGAACCGACATGGAAATGCTCCGATGGATGCAACGAATTAGTCTGAAGGACCACATCAAATCTACCGAAATCCTGCGTCGTGCTGGTTTAGATGATATAAAGGACGAATGCCGGCAACACCGTCTGCGGTGGTTTGGTCATGTCAAACGAAGTGGAAACAGTGCCATAACTTCTCTTGCAGATGTTGAAGTACCAGGCACACGTCCCAAAGGCCGTCCAAAGAAGTCCTTGTCGCAAACAATCGAGCAAGACATGAAAGCTCTAAATTTAAATGAAATGGATACAACTGATCGTCTAATTTGGCGCAAAAAGTTGATGGCAAAGAGAACAACGTCCTACCTCGGGAAACTGGGTCTCTGGACGCTAAATGAAGATTGATTGAATGATATGTTGTTTAGTAGGTCTTATCAGCACATTTTATTGATTTCTTTCAAACTTGGTCTACTTTTAATGCCTAGCCTTTTAAAAGTTTTTTTTTAAATTACCACACAGTCAGATTTGCCTGCTGTTAAAAAGAAAAGCGAACCAGCATTTGAAAGACATCAACGGCAATGTTTGTATCGCTATCTTCATTCTATTTTTAAAATTATACGTTTATTACTTCCATCAAGTAAATGTGATATATTAGATAGAGATATTATTGTACAGTACTGCACACTATAAAGACATTGATTACAATGTTAAATGTACCTTTTTAGGATGCTCTGTCGATTGCTGTTGAAAATGCAGATGCCAATGTCGTTACGATGTATGTTTCCGCGGGACAATATTATTTATTCAATTGTCATTTTGTTTTTTTATAACTAGCCATTTGATTTTTCTAATCAAGTTTTTTTTGTTGCAGACTTCGACTGGCACGACTGAATGAAGAAATGAAGGGTAGTGATGGAGGCTTTGACAACCCATGTCAGGCTTCTATATTTGAAACTATTTTGTCAATTATTTTTTTTATAAGTACATATGTTTTTAAAATGCTGTAAAAATCTGAAAATTGTTGTATATATCATTGTCAAACACTACAATAATTTTGCTTTTTCATTTCCATATTAGTGTATTGAAGTTTGTTCCATTTCAGAATATGCCGTAGTTTAAATTGTTCAGAATGTGATAAATGTTAATTCAGATGCGAATTAAGAGATCACAATGAATTTATCATAGTGCCAACAAATGAGTCATATTTTAAAATTCTGCAAACAAAACAGCTGATGACATGTTTGCCGAAGTGTTCAAAGATTTCTCAGCCATACCAAGTAGCAGCGTCGATGGCGCATCGTCAACGAGATCGTCCATATGCACTCTCAGTTCAACAACAACAACATTTCAATAAATTTATTTCCATTTTTTCTTTTCAATTTATTTTTTTCTTATTTCGTTTTAATGCTGAATAATTTTTTTTATAAATTGAAGCTTCCCTACGTTGCTTCATACTCTGTATGCATGCATGTATCATCTTTTAATTATTATTTAATGAATGTGATAACAAAAGAATAAATGCTCTGCTTTTAATTAGAAACTTCTATTGTATCATGATATTTTGTTTTCAAATTGTTGAATAAACATTTTAATTGTACATAGAGAATAATAATTATTATTATTCTTTGTATTATTTGAACGCTGACCATGTTTTTGTATTTATTTATTTATGCACATAAAAGAATGTATTATATTTATATACTGATTTGATCTGATAATACTCAGACAGTGTTGCAAAACAGATGATTATTTTAGACTAATTATTCAATCAATTACAAATTGCGTTCATGAAAATTATTTTAAATGCGATTTTTCACGCCTAAATTAAACCACGTTTGTCATCACTCCATTCATTTTCGCCTACCATAATGTTAACTAGTTAGCCAACTTGTTAAGTAGTAGAGTAGAAAAAGTCCTATTATAATAAAAGTTCTTTTAAATTAAAACAAAATTGTATTTTCTTCTTTTTCTCAATCACTTTTACTTCAGCTTCATATCTCTCGACATGATGAAGCAGTACGTTTGCATGTGTAGGTATGTGTTGTGTTGATGATTGCATATGAGATGTGTTCTGGTATACACACGCGCACACACACACACACATACATATATATAAATATATATATATATATATATATATATATATAGAGAGAGAGAGAGAGAGACTTCCACAGACTTAATGTTGATAAACTGATTAAATTCAATAAAATATGCACATAAGAGACACATTGATGTTACTAATGAACCTGTCTATAATTCAATATATGTTTATATATGTGTATATATTATATGTATTTGTATGTATGTATATATATATATGTGTATATATATATATATATATATATCAAACCAAAATATGCATATATTTCTTTGGTGTATATATATATATATATATATATATATATGTAAATTTCATTGAAATTGTTTGCCCATATATATATGTATATATATATTTTGGTAACAGACTATTGTTAACGCAACATTTCAAAAATTCAACACTACTTTCAACATTGTTCAACTTTTTCATATTTCTTTTTAATTTATTAATTTCCGAGAAATTAGACATTTTATTGTTTTTTTTTAAATTTTTATTAAATTTTTATTAAATAAATTTGCAAATAGCTATTTCGAGTTATAAATAACTCATCTTCAGTGCATTATATATAAGGTATGTAAGATATTTGATATAAAGGAACAAGTAATTATTAATTTATATAGGTTATTTAATTAAAACAGAAAACCAATAAAGTAAATTTAATAACTATAAACAATATAAAACGCGATTTTTAAAATTTTTTAAAATTTTTAACGGCAAGATTGTTTATATTATGGTTGTTAAGGTAAATATCAACGCTCAGCCGAGAAGCGCGAATTAATTTATTTAATTAACTACATATTATTAATATTATTTTGACAATATTTAAAAACATTATTATTATTATTATTAACGTTATTATTATTATTATCGCTGTGGTTCTTCTTGCTTCTTGTGATGATGTTCCATTTGCAAGTGATATTTGATATCTGTGGGTTGTGGTGCTGGTATCTACATTGTTGGCACTGTTGTTGTTATTATTGTTCATGCTGTTGTTGTTGTTGTTGGTGTTGATGTTGTTGTTAGGGTTGTCACTATTGATGATGCTCCAATTGCAACTGATATTTGCGCTGTTGGTTGTAGCATTGGTATCTACAGTGTTGGCACTGTTGTTGTTGTTGTTATTGTTGATGTTGTTGTTGATGTTGTTGTTGATGTTGTTGGTGTTGTTGATGTTGTTGTTGAAGTTGTCACTATTGTTATGATTGTTGTTTACATCATCAATATTGTTGGTGATAACATTGTTATAATTATTGCTGTTGTCGTAATTGTTGTTGTTATAATTATAATGATTGTTGTTTTTATTTAGTAGTCTGTTTGAAGGTAGAATGTTGTTAGACTGTACTTGAATGTTCATGGAGGGGTTTTTGTTTTGTATGAAAATTGATTCAGCTATTTTCAGGTTTGTGATGTTGTTATTGCAATAAACTATTTGCGTGTTATTTAATGTTTGTCGTGTTAAAGTGATGTCAAAATTTACTATCAAAATTTAAAAACATCCCAACTAATCATGAAAAATAATTGCCTGCCTGCAACTACTCAACTACAACAAAGTCATCTAATATATGAATATAAATGCTCCGTCGGTGAATGTTCGCACCGCAACAATGCTTCTTATATTGGAATGACAACTGCCACATTGTCAAGACGTTTGACCATGCATCTACAAGATGGAGCAAGTGAACAACATTATCAACAACAGCATAACATCACATGTCTAATTTCTCGGAAATTAATAAATTAAAAAGAAATATGAAAAAGTTGAACAATGTTGATAGTAGTGTTGAATTTTTGAAAAGTATATATATATATATATATATGTATATATATATCAATCAATCAATAAGAAACTTATATAGCGCCAATTAAATGTTCTCAAAGGCGCTATCGTAATTATATGAACATAGAAGTCTACAATACTATTAATATATATATATATATATATATATATATATATATATATATATATATATACTATTATATGAGATTAACATTTTGAAGCATTCGTTTTGTGTTTTTGTTTGTTTGTATGCATGTCTGCGTGTCTTAGTATATACGTAAAGTGTTTTGAATCGATTTTCGTTTTTTATTTAAAACAATAAAGCCTAATTTTTTTATATTCAATGATAACGTTTCAATGAATTAATCAGTTTTTTTTTAAGATTTATAATGTAGGAATGATTGAAGAGTTGAGATTGTGAAAGCAAATAAATTTGAAGATGTTTCGAATTGTTTCTAGTCAACTTTTCGTTGGATCATGCCCAAATGAACATTGCCATCAACTTTTTAAGGTTACATTGCTATGGCAATCAATGCCAAAAATCTATAGAAACCGAACAAGGAGCATCACGTGACTCCTGATTGACCGTACTAAATGTTTTTCTTGATCAAAGTAATCAACTGCCTTTTGGAGTGCGCTTGTGTGATATTATAAAATCATGAAGTAAATATAGGATGATACTATCTTCTAATAACCACGACTGCTGCTTCTATTAACAACAACGATACATAGTATTCAAAAATGAAAACAGTCAAGGAAAAAATTCAGAAAACCAACGCAAGGAAATAGATGAGTATAAATTGGCGTGGATAAAAAACCACAAAAGTGTTTTGGAACTTCTGTCTCTCTGCTTCATGAGAAATTTTTTATAATATTTCAAGGAGAAATAAGAGCAGAACCTAAAACAGGTTGGTGTTATGAATGTTTTCCGTTAAAAAATCAAAGTCGTATGTGACTTTTCTACTATATAATGAGCTGGCACTGTCAAAGTTTGCGTTGAAACCATCATTCACATAACAAAGGAACACTTATATTATGTTGTATACGAAAAACTCTTTTGTCCCATTCTTGCTTACATGGTTTTTGTCGATGTTATTTATACCCACACTGAAAAATGCGATGATAAATATAAACGAATGATTTAATTATCTGAGTTGCTTTCTTTTTCACTCCATTTAATGAATTACGCATAGGAACTAATCAAGCAAGTAGTTGCATACGATTCACTTTAAATTACGAGCTGAAAAAGTATTCACTCTACTCTAACATCATTCTCATCTCATTAAACAAGCATTTCCTTTAAAGTGCATTTCATTAAGCGCTATTTAAAACAACATGAATCTTTCTTTCTCTCTCTCTCTCTTTCTTTCTTTTTCTCTATCCACTTTTTTTATCCAATCATTCAGATCAATGATATAACGGAAAAGTAGGCTTCTAATTGATGATCCTGTTATTTATTTACTTGAGGATTATTTAGAATAAGCCTCAGTTGATTTTATTACTTTCTTTAATCCAGACCCCATTTTTATCACTGATATACATGAAAGCATTACTTTTTTCCACAATTTTTTCTTATTATTATGAACAAATATAATTTTGAAGTAATAAAGATTGTTAACTTTGCTGTTGTTATTTATTTTGCTAATTTTGGTTTTCTTTATAAAAAATGTTCTTTCGGATCTTCAATTGTAAAAAATCTAGTCTAAAATCTAATTCATTAATATTTGAGCTATTTTATGTTATCTTTATAAAAGCTAATCCAAGTAATTTGATTCCTTTAAATCCGTATTTTGGATAAAATTTAAAAATTTGTATGCTATTCTTCAAATAAATCGACATTTTACATTTGCTGTCACCAAATATAACTTTTTGTGAAAAATTTTTTTATAAAATTTTGTTCTTTCTTTTTTTTTTTATAAAATTTTGTTATTTCTTATAGAGTACATATACTACTAGCTCTAAAATTTGCTCTAAAAATGCCGACAAAACGTTAACAAAATAATTTATTATTTTCTTTTTCTACCTGTTGTTGCTGTTGACTTGAAGTTTTAAATTTTAACGAGTTGATTTTGTTTCGTCAAGAGAGGTTTGTTTTTATGTTTACACAGTTTATTTTCTTTCTAAACAAAACTCTCCTAATCTAATTAGATCGTTTTCGGGGATGTTTGTTTATATTTTATTTTTAACAATTGTTTGGTTTTAGTTAGATTCTACTAACTAAATCCTATTCTAAATTTTAGAGTCAACAAAAATGGCCTCAAACGTATTGCTCATTGTGGCGTTTGTGTTGTTACTCGCAGTTTACATGGAGTATCCTCCGCCAGCTTTCTCTCAAGAATTAACATCATGGTCTAATAAAGGAAAGTTTATGGTCCTCTTTGGGCAGAGAGTTTTCTACGTTGGTTGGTCCTTGCCTTGTAGTTATTTGTTAACAAATTTGTTATCCTTCGACATTCGTCAATGTAATTTGTAAGTTGTGTGTGTGTACAGCAAAAATGTGTACTGGACAATGTTCCATACTATTACTAACTAATTATTCTCTATTCCAATTCAATTACTATTTTCATTTAAATTGCAATTGTGCAATGTGTACCCTACTGTTATATTCTTTCTTTGTAGTGTTGCTTTGTACTGTATTTGTGTTTTGTACTTCTTATGAATATTTACAAGTTGTAGTTTATATAATATACACCATAATACTATACCTGATAACTGATATTAATTAAAAAACTGTAGAGTTTTTAATTGAATGCTTCAATTAATTTAGTTTAATATTTTTTAATTACATATGAAACAAGCAAAGATGACTCATTAAACGGTGTTGTTCTTTGCCTTCATGGTTTTTTGATGTCCAGTTATGACTGGCATAAAGTTTGTCATTTACATTCATTAAAATATTCAATAGTTGTTTTTTATCTATCCCCAATGTTTCAATTCTGGCAAAATTTGCTTTAAAAAACAGTTACATTATATTTAATTTATTATTTAAAATCAAGTTTAAATACAGTGTTGATATATTTGATCAATATTTAATGATTAAACAGGTACAACAAATATTACCAGATGAAAAATTTGTTAATATTTTTCTTATAATAATTAGTTCTCTCAGTTCTTGAAATACAATTTTTTACCACACATATGAAGATGTGGCCACATTTGAAAAAAAATTTCAAAAGGTTAATAGCTGTGGATTTGCCAGGACATGGATTAAGTGACAAGCCTTGTGTAATTATTTTTATGCTGTCTTTTTAACAGAATTTATATAACATATTTATATTAACATAATTTATTTTGATTAAATTTGTTAAGTTATTAAAATTGTGTTTGCATAGACAAAACATTTTATCTACTTACATTAAATTTTTATTAAGACTATTTCACCATAATATTTTAACAAACGATGTTAAAATCATCAAATGAAAAAACTAAAAAAATTCATTGAAAGTATAATTCTTCTTTGAAATTGTGAACAATGACGAACCAGAAAGAAGGAATGTATTCAATAAAACATCAAACCCGAGTTGTTGGAAGTCTTTTAAAAGAGTTGAAGATCACAGATGTGCACATATTAACTCATGATCTTGGTGTTTCAATTGCTTCTGAACTTTTATCTAAGTAGCTTTTACTTTACATTTAATGTTTCACTAAAATATTAAATCCATTTTTTCTATATTTTTCCAGTTATAATAACTTCAGAGAAAATTACAGCATTTCCAGAGCATCTGTTTGTGCTTTAAATAGCAGTAAGCCCATTTCTTTCCCTTTCTCTCAGTTGCATTATTTCAATTCAGTTTCAGTTTATAAATTCTGCTGTCATGTTTGTTTTGATGTTGATAATTTTTTTTCAGATAAAGTTTCTTTCAATTTTTTCCAAAAGGTTGGGATTTAAATTTTTTTAACTTAAATTAACAAATTTCTTTGCATTCATTTGTTATTTTGGCGTTATATTTGCCGCTACTCTGAATCAAGTTTTATTTCAGATGATTTCATTCGCTATTTTTTTTTACTGAATTGTATTTTCGCAGCAAATAGTATAAATAAATACAAGATGAGAATCTTTTAACTCTTACCTACGAAGTTATGGTTTTATCAAATTTCTACAGTTTAGTTAATACAAAATACTTTGCTATGTAATACGGGGAAATGCACGGACGCTAAAGTTCTGATTCACATGCACGGACGCTAAAGTTCTGATTCACATGCACGCACGCACGCACTTCACACACACATGCACTTCACGTACACAGCCACATTCATAACAGCTGTAGAGCGAAAGTGATGTTGAACAGACAAAACGCAAGTCATTATTATTGAGCGAAGGGTAACAACAAATTTATTTGGTTCTTGAAAGCCTATTTTCTTTTGTAAACTAAGCATAATGCTTATAAGAAAAAATGTGTTTGTTCTTAGACACGTAGGTATAACTCTGGTGCAAGTTTTCAATGTGTAAGGTTGGCTGGCATACAACAAAAAATTGTAATGAGCGTTAAACTAAAAGCACTGCTGAGATGTATATGCAATGCAAGATTTTCTATGTTGCAGGTGTGCATAAGTATTAGCGAAGGCTTTTGTTAATGACCTTGTTCCATCTTTTCTTATTGAATTGTTCTTAGTGTTGTTGTTGTTGCTGCTGCTTTTGTTTTTTGTTGCAGTTGTTGTCATTGACTATTATTATTGATATGCGCAACATTTTTTTTTACACTTCAGATAATAGGGCAGTCTGTCTTGGGACGTGTTGTGTGTAGAATTCTAAACTTTCACGTTTTCAAATATTTGTTAGTGTCATTTTCTATTTCATCTTAAATGAAAAAATCATTCACCCGTCAGCAAATGAGCATGAATGAAGTCACTAATTAAATGCAATTCGTGATGGCCATGCATAGTAAAGTTTTGTACAACTTTAGCATTGTTTCTGATATTCATTTAATTTGACTCTCATTACATTATTTTAAAATTGATTTTAAGGCTGTTATGTAAAGTGCAAAAATTAATCTTTTAGTTTGTGTTGCATTGAAATGTTTTTTTATTTTCTTTTTTTTAATTTCTATGAAAAGCTTTCTAGGACATTTGCAGTGGAAGATATCGCCTGAGCATTTATTTGATATTTGGGCATTAACCACGTTTCGCAATGGTCATTTGATACTGCCCGAGTGAGTATTTACTGAGTATTTTATTCATTTATTTGTTGCTTTAGTAATGTTGATAGAATCATGTTCACTTAATTCTAGTAGCTTCAGCATTTTGGTCCATGTCAGTTTTAACATTCAAAATATGCCAAGTTAATTGCGTTATTGAACATACAATTTAGAAATAAATTTTAATGCTGCTATTGCTGTATGAAATTTTTGTGGTTTGTTAAGTTGTTGTTACCAGTCTAAATATTTTTTTGCTTCTTTGAATATTGCCTATTTCTTTAACAAGCTTACTGAAAGTTTATTACGGGAAGTTGTGGTACTCTGCAATATAATCGATCACCTCTCTATTTCGATTAGGTTGTAAGTTTGTGTGATGTACAACCAGAAACAGCACAAGGGTGATGTCTGTTGATTCTAGTTCCATGTTTCCATTGCAGCTTGTTGGGTTATAAGGACCGTGGTTTAGATAACAATCTCGCACTTGCGCTGGCTGGCCGTTCTGGTGAGCTGCAGTTAGACGAAAGAGCGATGAGTGTAATTTTAACCTACACCGCACCACGCAAGACCAGTACTTCACTTCAAAATTTCGGTTTTTGCGGCTGTAGTTTTAGTTTATTGTGGTTCGATGTGGCACCATCTTTGAAATTTTAACTGCCTTTGGTTCTACTTTGTTGTGGCCAAATGTAGATGATATAATAATATAGATAAATGGAAGTGTTTTCATATCGACAACGATGGTGGTGACAATGAAGATGATTGTGGTTTTAATGATGGCGATGAAGATGATTGCGCTTTTTACGATAATGATGATGTTGGTGATGACAGTAATAATGGATGTGAAAAAGATAGTCTTTTAAAAGAGCCCAGCTAGGTGGCCAAAACAAGTTTTGCAAAAATTATTGAGTCCAGGATCTAGATTGAGCGTTTTCATGTTATTTTTAATTACAATTTTTGTTCATAGTTGATAAATTCAAATATTGAAGCGGTGCTCGTTTGTTGAAATATTAATGATGCTTTTTAATAAATAAAATGTATCACGTTTTTTTGCTTTTTTTATGCGTAATCATATATGTTTATGTTTGCTTAAATACGTACATGCATAAAATATATGAGATGTACTATGCATTATGTGTTATGCATTATGTGCGTTAGCGTAGGACCAAATGCCCGGATAAAAATAGTAGTAAAAAATACATTCGAAGCTAATGATCTCATCTAATAATTTACATTTATCTGGTCAATATGGATGAGAGCCAGTCAAAAATTGGCCGCATCCTGCCTGGTTCGTTTGTGTACTCGCGCCTGCCTGTGCCTACTGGCCACTCGTATGTTATTATTATTTTTTTTATTAGTCTTTATTATTGCAGCTCTGACATACACAGAACCACTTACAATGTTACTGATATATCATCTATATATCTTTATTATGTTCTTCATATCTTCAACCAATGATATGAAGCAGCCATCTTTTGCCACAAAGGCTGTTTGTTTATCCTTTTCACACAACGTTCACATGGATTTATGTGCACGCGCAAGCACCGCATCATATACGCTGAGTATATGATAGCCATTGAGATGTTTAACTCACTGCGCATTCGAACCACTGAGCCATCTCGCCGGCCAGCATGCGACAACTTACGTCGTCTACCCATTAACCAACCCCGAAAGGATGGACGGCTGGGTTTTTATTATTTTTATTGGGTCTTTGCGTGCCACCGATGAATATCGTCTGCAAACAGTTGTCCTCTCTTTTACCACCGCTATCCTTTTTAAACAAATTCTGTTTGATAAATTAGAAAAGTGCGTGGTGCGTTTTTTTGGTCGTATATATATTTATATGCGTGTGTGTTCGCGTGTGTGTTCGCGTGTGTGTGTGTGTATTTATATGCTAGTGTGTTCGCGTGTGTGTGTGTGTGTATTTATATGCGTGTGTGTTCGCGCGTGTGCATGCATACGTATGTATGCTTATATAACTATATACAAACATACGGATATATCATTTTTGTGAAATGGTCATACTTAATGAAACATTTGTTCTAACTTTCACATTTTTGTAACATCCATAAATCCATAGAAGTATTTAAAAATGATATATAGTTTCTATTTTAACGTGCTCGTTCGTATGTGCTGTTGTCAGTTCGTTTATGTTGTAGCATCTCTATGAGATAGAAGAAGTAATGACTATCTAAGATTGCCTTATACTTTTATCCGTAATAAAAATATTTTATTGCGTGGATGTTTCGCACACACCAGTCTCCATTCCGGTTAGATTGTTCGTGAGGTTTTCAATTTATTATAAATATGGAAACGTTAAACGTTTACATTTTAACTTCCGTCATCTGTTTTTTTTTTTTTTTTTTTTTTTTTGTTCATCGTGTATGTTTTATGCGGGAAAAGTACAAAATTTTGTAAAACTGTTACATGAGGTCCTCATCATTTAAAATCTCTCTCTACAATCTGTAATTTTTGTTTTCCTCATTGAAAGGTTGCGCTTAGAAGTAATGAAGTAATGAATATAATTTTGAGTTGTTCACATCACAATTTTTTATAAGCTTCAGCGGGAACTATGTAAGAATACTTTACAACATCATTAATCTCCCTGCCCCATCTACGCCTAAAAGTTAGGCGCGACCAAATTGGATGTGATTTGTGTTTGTTGCAATCGACAAAAGTCGTCTAATGTTGAACGAGTTGAACGTCACTTACGAAGCACAACAACAGTCATACATGCACGTGCACACACACTAAACTTTCCTATCACCACGACATGGTTAGAAGTGCGCATTTGCTTCCTTCTGCGCGCATCCGACTCCACTTTGCAAAAATTGTAAATGTTTATGCGAATGTATGCATTAGTTTGTGCATTTGCATGTGTATATATGGGGCGTTTTACTGTTCGTTTATACGCAATTGATCTGAGCAATTTGTAGCAAATATGCCAATGGATTCATATGTGAGTTATGCTTGAAACTCGTTTTAACTTTATCCGATAGGAATAAAATTATGACATCACCATGCAAATGTCTGTTTTTATCTGTAAATAACTCGAATTTATGTAAATAAGCAAACTGGATGTATCGGTTAAAACTATGTGAACCAGAACATGTGACGAGGATTTGAAGGATGATTTATCATCTTTTTAATGGTTCTTTCAAGCGTCCAGCCACATGTGGACGATGTGGTCGCTTACAGCAATATTCATTTATTACGCTAATGCGTGTATTTTTTATGACAGATTCAGTTTATCAAGACATTGTTTGTATAGCGTTGTAATCTCCTTCAGCACGTTCAGCTGGATTGCATTTGTTTATCCGCTGAAAACAATTGATCGCATTTGAGTGTAATGCCCTTTACAAGCGTTGGTCTAATTTCATCATAATGTTATAAATGATGTTTTTACGATAAATGTTACTGTGAGGAATAGTTTTACAGTTTTCTTTCAATTCGTTGCTTGCATATAAAAATTAACGCGCAGACTTTCAAC